GCGCGCGTCAACAGGCGTGGAGGGTGGCGGGGAGCACCAAAGCAGCTGTGGCGGCGGAGGAGGTGGGCAAGTTCCACGCGGGGGAGAGCTACCTGGTGCAGCACACGTCCATCCGCGACCGCAAGCACGAGTACCTGCTCTTCCTCTGGATGGGCAAGGACACCTCCGCTGTAAGGCCCCTGCCCCCTGCGCTTCTCGCCTTTCAGGGTCCTCTCCACTGGGGTGGATGAAGATACGACCTGTAACAGGGCCAAGCCCTTGGTGCACTGCACTCCCACATCGTCCCTTGCGGTCTTGCTGTTTCGCTCCGCCTGCGCATGCCCGCCACAAGCACTTGCTCGTGTCTTGGCCATTCTACCACACAGCGAGACCAGCTGTCAATGAATTGTTAACACACCCATTACACCCATTGCTTTGCTTTCACACCCTCTGTCGCCCCAATCACATCTCTTCCCTCTGCCACCGTCTCACTCTTTTCCTTCCTTGATTTCCCCTCACTCTTCTCCTCCCGCTCCTCCCTCAACCTTCCCCATCCTTGCTCTCCTCCACTCACTCCCTCCACTCTCTCCCCCCACGCCGTTCCCCTCTCCCCACCAGGCGGATCGCACGGCAGCCACGGCGCTGGCAGTGCGAACCATGGATGGGCTCAGAGGCAACGTCACTCTGGTGAGCGCCCTGCCCGCCCCACTCCCTCATGCTGCCCGCCCTGCTTGCTCATGCTGCCCGCCCCGCTTGCTCATGCTGCCCGCCCCGCTTGCTCATGCTGCCCGCCCTGCTTGCTCATGCTGCCCGCCCCGCTTGCTCATGCTGCCCGCCCCGCTTGCTCATGCTGCCCGCCCTGCTTGCTCATGCTGCCCGCCCCGCTTGCTCATGCTGCCCGCCCCGCTTGCTCATGCTGCCCGCCCCGCTTGCTCATGCTGCCTGCCCCCGTTGGGCATGACGGTGTGTGCTGCCATGGGGGTGTGTGCGCTGCCATGCCACTTTGGAGATGCTGCAGTGAGGCAGTGTCTGTGAAGTGTCACACTGCCCTGTCACACTGCCCTGTCACACTGCCCTGTCACACTGCCCTGTCACACTGCCCTGTCACACTGCCCTGTCACACTGCCCCGTCACACTGCCCTCACATCCACACAGCACTGCGGCCTCCGCACCAACAGTTGCTTGTGTAACAGTCCCCTCTCTCCCTCTTTCTTTTTCCTCTCTCTCGCCCTATGCCCCGCCCCACTCCCCACTCTATGCCCCTGCTTTCTCCCCCCCTCTTGGTGTGCATCAGGTGCGGGTGGTGCAGGGCAGGGAGCCAGAGCAGTTCCTATCGCTCTTCAAGAGCCACCTGCTCTTCCTCAAGGTGACTCTCCCTTCCTTTCTTCCTCAATGCCTCTCCGTGCTCTCTCTGTGTGTTGGCGTGTCGGATTGCGGTGTGTTGGCACGTGGCCTCGCTCATTTATCCGTGTCCTCATGTCTTTGTTGCTGAGTGTTTCCTAGTTGATAACTTCATATCGCATGAACTAGCTTTCCTCCTCCATCTCCCGTCCATCCCCTTCTCTCTCATCCTTCTTTCATCTCACCATGTCACGGCACATCGCTTCCCCTTCTCCTTGCCCCATCCTCGTCTCCTCTCCCCTTCTCCACCCTCCCCCCTATCCCGATTTTCGTTCCTCTCTCCCCACACCCTCACCCCTCTCTCCCCACCCCTGGGATTGTCTCCCCTCTTCCTCCCCCCCCCCCCCCCCCCCCACGGCAGGGCAAGGCAGCAGAGGCGTATGATGCGGTGGGCATCGCTCTCTTCCGAGTGCGGGCGCGCGACAACGGGCTCATCCTGGCCGTCCAAATGGACACGGTGAGAGCACTGCACCAGGGCAAGCAGGCCTCCCAATCAGCCTTACCAAGCGCCACACGGCTGCTCCAGCCTTGCCTCTTTACTGCCCACCACACCACGTCTGCGTGAAATGTGTTTTTTTGGCACGCGTGGACAAAGCTCATGGTCCATCTCGTTTCTTGTTTGGTTAGGTATTGTTGCAAACCAACTTTTTCGAAGTTTCGTTTGTTATTGAATTCGTGATTCCAACTATGTGGCACGCCGCATGAGCATGTGTGTGTCATGTCCATGCATTTGTGTGTGCATGTGTGTGCCTGTGTGTGTGTGTGCATGCACGAATGACCATGCATGTGTGCTCACGTATGTCCGCTGCATGTGAGTTTCTATGATTCTCCACACTTTCACCACACTTACACTACACCACATCACACCACGGCAGGTGCCGCGGTCGCTCAACTCATCGGAGTGCATGCTGCTGCAGACCCCCGCCAACCCATTCCTGTGGGTGGGCAAGAACAGCACTGAGGCCGACAAGGCCGCCGCCACCACCGCTGCTGAAATCTTCAAGGTACACCCGCCATGCCTGTGAAGCTGCACCCGTGCGTGTGAAAGTACACCCATGCCTGTGAAGGTGCTGCCATGAGTGTGAAAGTGTCACCATCCTCTGAAGGTGTCACCATCTTGTGAAGGTGGCTCTGCCTTTGAAAGTCCGCTTGTTTCTGAGCACTTACTTTGAGCCTGCACGACCTTCCCACATGCGTCTGCCACATACTCCAATGCCACCCTGATGCAGTATTGCATGGGGCAGCTTTTCATCGCATTGACCAGCCCTTTAATGTGTGAGAAGCTCGTTCTCCTTTTGCAGGGCGGTGTACAAGTACTATGGACCCGAAGACAAAGTAAATTCTGGCTCACTGCTGACCAAAAAAAGGAGCTCGATGCGCAGTTAGTGTCAAGTTCTAGGCCTCAGCAACTGACTGCACATCGAGCTCTTTTTTTCTGCTCATCAGTGAGGTCAGAATTCAGTTTTTCTTCGGGTCCATAGTATTTGTACGCGCCGTGCAAAACGAAAACGAGGTTCGCACACATTCGAGGGCTGGTCGATGCGATGAAAAGCTGCCCCATGAAGGCGTGGTGATGGGAGGTGGGCGTCCATGCTGCACATACAAATCCAACAAGCCAGCCACTTTCTTTGGATCATCCTTTCCAGCCCCAGCATTCCCCCCTACCCCCTGCCCCGAACAGCCAGGGGTAGCGCTGAAGCAGCTAGCGGAGGGCAAGAAAGCGTTGGTGTTCTAGGGGCACCTGGGCACTCTTTGTGTCGCTCTTTCCAGCCTCTGCCTGCCCGGCGCCCGTCATCCTCCCTCCCCCTTTCCGGCCTCCTCCCTTACCCCTTCTCCCCCCTTACCCCCCTTCCCCCCCCTCCCCCCTTTACCCCCCCTCGCGCTTCCCCCGTCCCTGGCACAGCCCGGAGTGGCACTGAAGCAGCTGGCGGAGGGGAAGGAGACGTCGGTGTTCTGGGGGCATCTGGGCGCCAAGGGGGACTACCCCGCGCAGCGCGAGCAGAGGGAGGCGCAGCGGGATGCGCGCCTCTTCCACTACACTGGCACTGCAGGTGACTATAGCGAGGTGGTGTGTATGACTGTGACGAGGTGGTCTGCGTGATAATAGCGAGACGCCGCAGGCTAGTCTGGCGTGGAGAGGAAGGGAAGGGTGGGAACCTGCGCGGCTGGGAGCTGGTGCAGGTTTTGGGGTTGGGAGTGGAATGGGTCACAGTGAGAGGAGGATGCATGAAAGGAGAATGGGTGACATGGAAGATGGGGAAGAGGACTGAATGCTCACTGAAGCCACTTTGAAAATTCTCAAGAGGTCATTTGGAAGACTCCGTCCTCTCGAACTGCTTGCCCTGCCCTCACCTCACCTCACCTCACCTCACCTCACCTCACCTCACCTCACCTCACCTCACCTCACCTCACCTCACCTCACCTCACCTCCACCCTTTCACCCCTCCCATCTCTCTCCTCTCTCCTCCCTTTCCCACCCCCCCGCTTCTCTCCTTCTCTCCTCCCGTGTTGCCTCCTTCCTATTCCCTCCTCTCAGCTTTATTCTCCTCCCTCCTCTCCTTCCTTCCCTCTTCTTGGCTTTCATCCAGTATACCTTCAAAATTCCGCATGCATTTTTTTCCCACCCTCCTAAACCCTTCCCCCTTCCATGTGTGTGTGTTTGTGTGTGTGAATGTGCAATGTGCCACGTGCGTGTGTGTCCCATGTACCATGTGTTGTGTGTATTCCATGTGCCATGTGTATTCCATGTGCCATGTGTATTCCATGTGCCATGTGTATTCCATGTGCCATGTGTATTCCATGTGCCATATGCAACATGGCATCAACGCTTCCTGTTACGTCACGGCTACAGCCGCTGCCAAGGTAAGCTCCCCTTTTTCTTCAATTCATCCACTAGCACAAGTAGCCACGTGGGATTTGAGTCTCTCTGCAGGTCTTCTTTTGATGTGCCTGCGCCCCCACCCCAACCTTAAATCGCATGCATGCATACATGTGCTCATGTGTGTGCAATAGTGCATGTGATAAGCCCTCTACCTTCCCTCCCCTCCCTTCCCTTCCCCTCCCCTCCCTTCCCTTCCCCTCCCCTCCCCTCCCCTCCCCTCTCCTCCCCTCCCCTCCCCTCCCCCTCCCCTCCCCTCCCCTCCCCCTCCCCTCCCCATCCATCCCTCCCCTTCCCTCCCCTCCCCATCCATCCCTCCCTTCCCTCCCTATCCCTCCCCATCCCTCCCGTTCCTCCCTTTCCCTCCCCATCCCTCCCTTCCCCTCCCTTCCCTCCCTCCCTCCCTACCCCTCCGGGAATCGCAGGTGGTGGAGGTGCCCAACTACGAGCAGGAGGATCTGATCAGCGAGGACGTGATGCTGCTGGACACGCACAGCGAGGTGTTCGTGTGGGTGGGCGTCAACCTGCCCGACAAGGACAAGAAGGACGCCTTCGAGTACGCGCAGGTGCGTGCTGGTTCTGTACGGTGTGTGCGCTATGCTGTGTGGTGTGTGCTGCTTGCTGCGTGCTACATTTTCTGTGCCGTGCTTAGTTGGAATTGACGGAGCTAGCGTTTTTTACGCTACCGTTTTGACGGTCCGTTTTTTACTCTGGACGGAACCCTCCGAGAGTTTGACGGTGGTTCTGACGCTCTGGCGGGCAGGCAAAAAAAACCTTCGGGCAGCCAAAAAAAGCAGGGAGGGTGGGTCTCGGGGGGTCGAAATGGGTGGGGGGGTTGGATATTGTGTTGTGTTTTTTCTGTGTGGTGCAATGTCGAGTGAAATGTGTGTGTGCTGTGCAGGTTTAGTTTTGTAGTTGTAGTGTGGTCGGAATGGGTGGGGAGTTTGGATTTTGTGTTGTGTTTAATCTGTGTGGTGCTTTGTGGTGCAATGTCGAGTGAAATGTGTGCGTGCTGTTCAGGTTTGGTTTTGTAGTGCGGTCGAAAGGGGTGGAGGGGTTGGATTTTTGTTTTGAGTTTTTCCCGTGTGGTGCAATGTCGAGAGACATTGCACTCGCGATGTCGAGTGCCATAGCAGTCGCGATTTAGTGCCTTAGCAGTCGCGCTTTAGTGCCTCAGCGGTCGCGATGTTGTGCATTAGCAGTCGCGATGTCGACGTGATCTCCAGAAGCGGACTTTTTTTTGCGCGGAAAAAAAAAAAAGGATTTCGGGCTGCCCGATTTTTTTTTTTGGCGACCGTCCAGCGTCAAACCGACCGTCCAGCGTCAAAACGGACCATTTTGACGCTTAACGCTGGACTGTCCCAGCGTCAAATCCATCTAAGGTGCAGTGTGCTGTCACAGGGGAGCAAGGGCATGTCAAAGCAGCACTCAAGCTAATCCCTCTCATGCACCCCTTTTGCTCCCCCCGCACTCTCCCCCTGCCCCTCCTGCAGCGGTACGTGGAGGCGGTGGCGGGCAGCGAGGGGCGGTCGAAGGAGGTGACCATCATCCGCGTGGTGGAGGGCTTTGAGCCGCCCATGTTCACCTGCCACTTCCATTGGGACCCCACCAAGACTGCTGTGCGTGCCGCCTGCCACCCGTGGCCCATGGGATGCGATGCGATGCATGCGTTGCAGACCACTAGATGCTTGACTGTGTGCTCGCATCACGCCCATTTCTTGGCACTCGATTAGCGTCTTGGTGGAGTGTGTTGAGGCTCTGGGGTGTGCGTTGGTGCATGACATAGGTTATGTTGTGTGTGTGTGGGTCATGGGATGCTTGCACTGATTTGTATGTCTGGCGTGTGCAGAGCATGCATGAGTGGTTACATGCATGAGTGGTTACATGCATGAGTGGTTACATGCATGAGTGGTTACATGCATGAGTGGTTACATGCATGATATCACGCAGCCCCTCATGCCCATTCCATTCACGTGCCACTCTCCCCTTCCACACCACCATCCCACTCCCCCTGCTGCCCTCTGCGCCCCCCTGCTGCCCCCTTCTTCCCCCTACTGCCCCCCTGCTGCTCCCTGCTGTCCTCTGCGCCCCCCTGCTGCCCCCTGTTCCCCTCTGCCCTACCCCCCCCCCCCCAGGCCTTTGTGGACCCGCACGAGCGCAAGCTGGCGCACCTGCAGGGCCGCGAGGTGGAGCTCTCCGACGTGAGTGCTGCTGCCTAGGGGTGTGGGGGCATGGGGGCAAGGGGGGTGGGGCATAGGAGTGGGGCATGGGGAGCATCGGGGCATGGGGGCATGGGGAGCATCGGGGCATGGGGGGCAGGGGGGAAAGGGGGCATAGGGGGCATGGGGGCATGGGGGGCATGGGGCATGGGGGCATGGGGGGCATGGGGGGCATGGGGGCGTGGGTGCATGGGGCATGGGCGCAGGGAGGCAGGAGGACGTTGGGGCGTGGAGGCATGATGCATTTGTTGTGTGTTTATGGTGGTGGTGTGATGGCGTAATGGCATCTGGCGGTGCTATGCTGCATGACATGGAGATGAGGACACCATTGATGGTAGTCTGTGCCTTCTTGGCTGGATGAGGACCATTGTGGTTACTCCCCATCGGTATGACAACTGTGCTGCTTGGAATGGGATGCTCATGCACATACGGCTGTCTGCTGCCAGCTGGATCTGTGGAAAGCTCTGATATTTCCATGTCCATCAAAATGTCTCTCATACCCCACAGCATGCGTTCCTGTTCTGCGCAGCAAATCCCCAATTTTCTCCACCGATCTCTACCTTTTCCTCACCTTCCTGGATTTCTTTTAGGCTGCCAAGCGCAAGCTGGCAACACTTGGCCTAGCATCATCCCACCCCGCCGCTGCTGCTGGCGCTGCTGCCGGCGGTGCCGCTGCGGCACCAGCAGATGCTGAGCCGGCCGCAGCAGCCCCGCCAGCAGAGGTTGTTGCTGCTGCGGCTGCACACGCTGCCAAGGATTCAGCATCCTCTCAGATGGCAGCAGCAATGGCTGCCCTTAAGGGCTCCATTAGGGGGGTGCCCACCAAGCCTGATCCTGCCGCTGCTTCTCCTGCTGCTGCCGCACCTGCGCCCATGGCTACGCCCGAGCCTGCTCCCGCTGAGGAGGTTGCGGCGCCCATGTCTGCTGCTTCTCAGCGCGCTGCTGCCATCGCTGCCCTGTCGGGCACTCTCACTGCGGAGAAAAGGAAGAGTGAGTGTCGTTTCCTCCTTATGGTGAAATGTTTCTGCTCCGTATGCTGAATTGGTCATGTCAATGTGTCGTTGTGGGGTTATTCTCACCACTTGGCGCCTCCTTTTTTTTTTTTTCCTAGACAACTTGCCCATCAAGCTCGGTCGCTAATCATACTCCCAAGGCGATCACCAAATGGGAGGCAGCAACATTTATTATCTGTGTGTCTGCCTATCGCATGTGATCAGGTGGTGGAGGAGCAGCATATTCCATCCCCAAGGTGCAATCGCCCGCTGCCACGGCTCGCTCACCATCCTCCACGCCCGAACCACAGCCTGCTGCCAGTCCCGCTGCCGTCACGCCCTCCTCCCCCGTGCCCGCCCCCATCCCCGAGGGAGACGAGCCCTCGGATGCGGCGGGCACTGAGGCAGCAGTGGAGGGCGCCGTGTACGCCCTGGAGAGGCTCACAGTCAACAGCACGGACCCTGCTCCTGGCATCGACACCAAGAAGCGAGAGGTGCGTAAAGAGCAGGAGTGATGCCCAACGAGCTGGGGTGATGTGCAATGAGCAGGTGTGATGAGGTGTTCCGTAAAATTGCCCCAAATCTCTATTGGCTTCTGTGATTGTTGGCAGCAAGTGACATGCCTCTCACCTGGGCAGTCAGAATCTCTTGATCTGACTTCTTTTTCCAATGTTCTGATTTGCGTGGCAGGCTTATCTGTCTGATGCGGACTTCCTCCAAGCGTTCGGATGTGATAAGGAGGCTTTCTACAAGCAGCCCAAGTGGAAGCAGGATACCAAGAAACGCTCGCTCCACCTTTTTTAAGCAGTGTTCTTCACAAAATGGAAACGCAACTGACTCTGGCTTTCTAGTGTGTAGTGCCTGTTTCTAGGACAGATTGGAGACATGTAGTTCCATTCTCCATTCTCCAGTAGCTTGCTGCTACCCACACAAAAGTGTAGGGTACGTTCATGGTATGTACCGGTCAGTATGTTACTGAGATGAGATGGTCTTTTGTTGTGGCTCTAGGGATCAGGAAGTAGGGCATTAATAATGTAATTTTAGACCGTCCTACAAATTCTGGGAGTGTCAGACTGTTACGTAACCATAGAACACCCTGCCATGTAGAGTACCGGTAAATAGAGTACCCTTGGGAAACACCGACACTGAACTTGCACATCTAAACAGAAATCAAGCTCTGTAAAATGTACCCACACAAATCAGGAAAGAGTGCAGCGGCAATAGGAACATCAGCACTACGAATGAACAGGAAGACCTGTAGTAATAATCATCTCCGAGAAGAACTGTCTCTACTGGCACCGGGCCTCGTCAATACCCGAGCTGCCCCTCTAGAACTGCTGCTACCTTGCCCAGATGTGCCAGTGCCTCCATTAGAAGGTTCCGGTTCTGGGTGCACTCTTGCAGCATTTGATCTGCCAAAAAGACGACTCGCCTCGACTCGACGTGCTGAAACTTGCAACCGGCTGGTGGCATTGACCGAGTTCGCTGTGGCTGGAGCAGAGGTTACTGGAGGTACTGCTGCCCTTGTTCCTGCAGACGCCGTTATGCGCATTTCTTGTGTGCCACTGGTAGATTGCGTGGACCTTGTCGCTCTACTCAGGTGGTTCAATGCGGCTCTCGCAGACTCTGCTGCCCGGGCTGTTCCCGATTCTGTCACTCGGGTCAAAACATCGATCGCTCCAGCTGAAAGCAACGGTTCTCGCAGGTTCTCAAAGAATGATAAGTTACGAAGTGTCCGTGCAGCTGCTTCTTTACTCCAAGGAGACCCGTTCTGAAGTGCTGCAAGCAGCACTGGCACAGCTCCAGCCTGTGCCACAGAAGTTCAGCGTTAGCCAATCATACGGAAGGTCAAAGCTCTAGTGGAAACTATCAGATTACCTGAACAATTTTCTCCCCATTCTCATTAATTTCACAGGCCAAGCTTCCAAGGGCGTGAGTGGCATATTCTCCAGCTTCTGGGGTCGGGGATCTTGCAGCAACCTGCGATAACACAGCTTCAGTGGAATCTGTACAGAAATAACGACATAAACCTCTAATCATACCTGGACAAGCAAAGGGATGGCACCGGCTGCAGCAATCTTCAGCCTGTTCTCATTGTCAAAAGCAAGATTGCACAGTGCTGCTGATGCGCACTCATACGAGGTCCTTGAGGCATTTGGCTGGTTGAAGTCAAGAAGAGAAACTAGTGGAAGTATTCCTCCAGCAACTGCAATCTGGAACTTGTTGACATCCGTCTTGGCTGAAAGGTTGACAAGAGCGCCACATGCGGCCTCCTTTGCAGCTTGAGACCCCTGCAGTGAAAGGAGGTTGTTAAGTACCACGAACTAGTGCCCATCAGTGCAAAACAGGCCCACACTTACCACAGAAAGTAGTCGGACCAAAGCTGGGATAGCTGCTGCAGAACCTTGTGTAATGATCGGGTTGTTGCTCCTGGAAAGAAAGCGGATGCATCTTGCTGCCGTTTCCTTGGCAAAATCAGAGCCTTCAAGCAGAACCATGATGAGGGGTGGGATTGCACCAGCCTGTACAACTGAAACCCTCCCATTTTCCCCATCTTCACTTGCAGTTGTTGCAAGCTGAGCAACAGCTGCGTCCTGTAAAATCAACATGGCAGCAATGAGCTACAGAACTTAACACCAGGAGTTTTTCAGCACAACACTATTGACCTTGTCAGCAGTTGAACCAACGAACAGCTGCGTAACAGCCAGCATGGGAGGGCTCCTCCTGTCTGGCAGAGCATTGTCCCAGGTAGGGATCTGTGATGGTGCCGAGGCATTATTAGCTGTCTTATATTGCGCTCCGCTTATGCGAGGTGGCGGAAAGAACTCAGGCTCCTTCAACTCGATGCCCCGCTTTTGTGCCCAAGCTCGAATGGCGTTTCTTAGTGCATAGTTAGGCACCAGCTCAATGTTCCCAAGAGGCATCCCTGGCATCATAATAAGCAGAACGACAGCATAGTCAGATCACATTCCTTCCATTGGCAGAATCTCTGAAACTAAGGGATGTGTTCGATACTTACTTGTAATAGGGCATGTACGATGGCCCTCACTTATCCACTGTCTGATGGAGCTCCTCTCATAAGTTTGTCCCGTGACAACCATGACTGGATCCGCCATCAGTTCGCATGTGATAGGACATAGAAACTCAGGAGGTGGCTCATCGTTCATGCTTGACCTTCTCCTGTAGGAACATTGTGATAAGGTGTGTCAGCATGAATTAAGTGGAACAGCATAAATGAGGTCTTACCTTCTTGTGCCAAAAGGTCGATCTGGTGTGCCATAACTAACGGTGTCTTTCCCTGACTTTTCAGCCGGCGCATCATCCAGAGCCTTAGAAATAATGTTGGCGGAGTCTGAGAAAAACAACTTGTTAGTGTTTACCCTTTTTTTTGTATTTAGAATTTTAACGGGAGTCGTCAAAACTTACCAGACGTTTCTGGCAATGAGCTGGGTTCCGCAGTTCCAGTAGGCGATGCTACTTCGGCAAATGAGCGAGGACTGAGAACGGATGGAGCGAAGCTGTTATCGCTGTCTTGCGTTGTCCGTATGGATTCAAGCATTGCTCTTGTTGCCTCCAGGCGCATCTCTCCGTCGTTTGCCGGTCTGCGTTCACGTAATGATTAGCTCAAGCGAGATGGGGAGCGTGTGTCAAGACAACCTTTCTTACCTGCCAGACGACGTTCCTTCACGACTTCGAGATGTTTGCTGACCATTGCTTGAATCATTAAGCGAGAGCTGGCTCATGCTTTGCACACTTCGCCAATAACCATGCCTTCCTTGAAGTATTATGTCCAAGGCATGATCAGATGCACCACTCACGACTTCGTCACAACCAGTATTGACCATTTCTTTCAAACGAGCATCATTCGGATCAAGGTTCACGTCGACGTTCTTGAGCTTCGTAGCTGCTTTAGCAGCTGCTGTGAGAACGTCCGAAAATAAGTGCACCGGAAACCCCGGTTCCATCTGTGTATTACATGAAGCAAGTTAGTGTCGCGCTTTGAACATGCCTCCGCGGCTGCATGCTAGACTTTCAGCTCACCTTGATCCTTGTGCTGGCAAATTCATATAATGCATCCCCCGTTTTCTTCGTTGCGTCTTGAAGTCGCGACGTGAAGGAATCCGAGTGCTGAAGCAAGTGAAACTTCCATAGCCTATCGCGGCACAAATCCACGCAGACAGTCACATCCGCCAATGAGCAAGCCATTTCAGAAAGTGATTCCACCAAGCTGTTATCCTGTGCTACTGTGAGGTTAGTGTGCTTGAGAACCAAGAAAAGTGGTTGGACTTCTTTCAGTGCATTACAGATCTCCTGACAAGCACGCGAGCACAATACAGCGTCAGCTGAACACTCCGTCGAGTAGCTGATCATCTGTTCGATGACCTTGAGCATTTCTGTTCGGTCAATGTGAAGTGCTTGGCCGGCTGCGTTATCGTCTCTATCCGCCATGTTTGAGATTGCGATCTGCAATTGCACAGAAGTGGCCTTCTCAATCAGCTATGAGGGGCTTTTTATTCTTTGGTCTGGCGCTTTGCGTTCGTCACTCCTCACAGCGATCATCGAACAAAGTCTGTCTGCTGTCGAGGTGTGAATCATGTCGTTCTGCCAGTACATGGCGGAAGGGCACACGAATTTCACTTGTAACTTAACATTTCCAACTACAGTTCATCTTTCCATTGCGTATGTCCAAAGAGAAGCTATTTGTTGTAACTTCATCCATACTGAATGGTACCGTAAAAGTACTTATAAAAAAACACTCTTCACTTACCCTTCCTATCTCGTCACCACCTGCTTTCCTCCCCAACCACGACCAGAGAAATCACCTGAGGCGCTCGAACAAAGGTAATGTTCCATGTGCCTGGCTCCACGCCCAACAACCAATCCATACTCAGCAGCTAACACTTATTCCGCTTGCCACATTGAATGCCCCCATTACACAGTTACTGCTGGCAACAAAGCGGTCCAGCTTCTGCCCAACTACCCTATTTGCTATCAACCTACTTCGAAAAGAGTCACACGAGAGCGCCATTGAGGCACACCCCATATCACTTGCGACCACTGCCCCATAAAAAGCTGAACATGGACGTTGACTTCTTTGCTGCGCTGGCCTGTGTCGCCTTGTGTGCATCCTCCCCTGCCCCACGCCCTGCCCCTCTCCCTCCCGCATGTCCTCCTCTCCCTCCTCCCCCCCTTGCACCCGAGCCTCCTGCTGCTTGCCTGGGAGGCGGCGCCCCATCTTGATCCAGATCCAGGGCCGTGTCCTTGGCCAGGATCTGCAGTGCTGGCAGCACCACCGACTCCAGGTCAGGCCGGTTCGCCTTGTCACGGCACCTCAACGCCAGCTCAGCAACATCACGAACGATCTTATCGTTCCATGTGACTTCCTTGTCAAGGTGCTCCAGCACTCCTTCCAGCCCGAACTTGGCGTATTCCAGCACCTTGTTCACCTTCTCTCCCGTCAACAACTGCAGCACCACCAACCCAAGCCCATAGACATCCGACTGAGGGCCATACTTGCCTGTCCGCAGTAGCAGGGGGTCAATATATCCCACAGTGCCCCAAATCGACGAGTCATTGACTGGTAGGAACTTCGCCAGACCCACTCCTCCGAGTTTGCTAATGAGATCGTCGTCCAGCATAACATTGGCGGGCTTCACGTCCTGGTGCAGGATGGGGTAGTCCAGGCGGTGCAGGAACACTAGCGCCTCCGCCACCTCAGCTGCAATGCGGAGGCGGTCTTTTTGCCTCAAAGACTTGCGCCCAGCCTCAGTCGCCAACCTGTCCTCGAGATTGCCGCCAGGGAGTGCCTCGTACACGATACAGCGCGCCTCAGCATTGTAGCCTATGAGCCTCACAATGTGGCGGTGGTCGGCGCGTGTAAGAACTGTCACTTCGCGGAGAAAACGCTCGCCTGCCTGCCGGCTAGTGTCCGGGTTGAGCTTCATCACAAGAACTGGTTGGCCATCGATTTGACCCTTGTAGCCTGTGCCGAAGCCGCCTCTACCGAGAGAGTTTTCACGGTGGAACTTGTTGGTTGCTTGCTCTAGCTCCCTGCCAGTGAACCTTTTCACGCCCTCCATGTGGGCTGCTCAACCGTGTCCGCTGGCTACGGCAACGGCTGGAGTTCTAGTGAGATCATGAAGGGACGAAAGGGAAAATAAACAATAATGAGGAACATTATTGCGATAACGCATATCGAAGAACAGTAATAAGTACAGCTGAGTCAATCTGATGAAAAGGAAGATAAGCATATAGGGCATGCATGATAGAGGAGAAACGGTGAAAATATAAATCGGGGGAGTCAGGGGAGGATGGAATGGTAGTGACTAGTGTGCGGACATTTTTGAAAGAGAGGGAGGGAGGGAGAGAAGAGGGTGGCGGCGTGAGTGTGTGCGAAAATGAATAGGTGAGGATAATAATTAAACAGCATCACCTCCTCTAGCACGAATATAGAAAATCTGGAAACTGGCAGGTTCGCGTAATAAAAAAGGCTACTTCGGTGCAGATACCAGGACACAAGGTAATCAAGACACACCTCCGCAAACTGATTAAAACATTCGACATTGCTTCTACATAGCAAACTTTCACCAAGAAAAAAAATGATACTGAGGAAGGAGACCCGACAAGAGCAGCACTCACCAGACGCAGTTCTTCACTAAACTCGACACAAAAACCTTCTACGGATATTGTTGGCTCGCTCTTAACCGCGCGCACAGCTAGCCTCTGTGAACGACAGATCTAAAAGTTGACATGCGGACTATGCAGCCCCACTTTAGAAACCACGGCGTGCACGCAAGGTGTTTGATCTGCTTAGCGACAGCAGTGCGGTGGGATGTCGGACTCAAGTCAAGGACACGTTTTCAGAAGGCACCAAAATGTGCTAGGTTCAGGCGCAGCAACACATGGAAGGACAAGATGCCGCTGAGGGGGGAACCAGCAGCAGCAAGCAAAATCATTTCCAACGGGTCTCCGAACCGAAGCTCTCTGGTTTGATGCTCAGCCTCGTGAATGCGGTGGTTGGCGGGAAATAGGGTTCGACTTGGAGGGCAGCAGCTTAGGGTGTGTCAGACCCGAAATCGGCTTAATCCGACTGGCCGGTTTTGGCGAAAGTAACACGTTAGCGACAGTCGCAAATATTTTAGACGAGCTCGCATCATCCGGCCACTTTCCGTAAATTTGATGGCCGTTTCAAAAAGTCGACATAAATCCGACATGTAGTCGACTCGAATTCGGCCAAGATGTCGACTTGGCAATGCAACAGTAATCCTGCGACGTAACAAATTTACGGCAGCCAATAATTGTCATCGCTACTTGTATCGCTACGAAAACTGCGACCCCGTCGCAGCAGCCCGGCCAACAAATCTGACACATTTGATAAGCGGCCAGCAAATCAGCCACCAAACGTGTCAGATTTGCAAACACATCCGTAATTTGTCGACCAAAATTCGACCAATGCGTCGACGTTCGCGAAAACAATTTGACGACCAAATGGTCGACAAATAACCAGCCAAAATAAGTTCTGAAGGATCTGACACACCCTTAGGGCATGGAAGATCCCTACGAACATGTGTTTGGTTGCTCCTGTGGTCGAACATCTGGCTTCGTCAATGGCTTGCGACATCTTTCGCCGGGTAACACATGAAACCCCACATTGCAAATCAGAGAGGCTTTAAGGTTTCGGAAGGGGCCTTGGTCGCTCTCAAGCGAAGAAATATGAGTTCGTCAATCACTCAGAGCAAATTGGATTGCACTACATCACCCACGACAACACCTGGTTTCATGTCGCGTGATTCTTCTTACGTCGCCAATCTTTGTCTTCCCCTCGTGGACCCAAAAACGTGGGGCAACAAGGGGGCACGGGCGCTGAAACGTGAGTGCTTCTAGCAATTTTCGTCGCTCTATTAACGATGTTTAATGGCGAGAGTCGCAACCTGTGTTACTGTCGCAACTGCGCGACCAATGCCTTGTTCATAGGGATCTTCCACGCTCTTACTACAATTGATGCCTGTTTGAGCCCCTCCCGGTTGCCGCATATTGTGAGAATAACGAGGAAGTGAATGCACTAGGAAACAGGTAGGTAAAAGTAGGAAAACCTAAAAGTGTTGTACCCCATATTGTCTGTTACAATAGTAAGCACAGTGAGGAGCCATAGCTAGGGTTTAGCTAGCTAGGCAAGAGAGAAATGAACAAAGGAGAGGTTTCACTAGCAGCAGTTGGGATACATATAGCAAACCCTAACAGGGTTGTACTCGCTATAGAGCACCCCACTACAGGCTAGATAATAACATTCTGACACACCCCCATAGCCAAAGTGGGGTGTAATCAGCAGAGCACGCAGTCATAGAGCAGGTTCACAATTGCAAGCAAAGCTAGAGGCTATCACAGAGGGCAAGTGAGGAGGAGGAGAGACTGTGGGGGCGAGAAGATGGGAGGCGACTGCTGACGCTGCAGACACACAGGAGCTGCTGGCTCAGTGGCTACCGAAGCAAGGGCCCGGACTACAGGAGTAACTGGCTCCGCGGAGATTGTAGCCTCCTGACTGGAGCAACTGACCCACAGGCGACTGGCGACTACCGGAGATTGTAGCCTCCGGACTACTGGCGCTGCTGACGACACGACGGTTGCCTCCACTCAACCTCCCCCAGCTGCCCCATGCCCCTATCACACACCCCCTGCTGCACCCCTAGCTCCACTCCCACGACACCCCCCTAGCACCACTCCTTCGGCTCCCACACACCCACCCCCCTGAGCGGCAGCTGCAGCAGCGGGAGACGGAGGAGGAGGAGGAGGAGTAGTGGAACGGCGCACAGAAACTGCACCCCCATACCCCCCACCCCCAAACCCTAATGCAGAAGAACGGGCAGAAGCAGGGGTGGGGCGCCTTCAGAAGCACGGGGGACAGCGGGCAGCTCAGGGGCAGAGAAGAACGGGCCGCCCACGGGCCTGGCACAGCCAGACGAACCGCGCGCAGGCGGCCCGAGCCGCGCGCGGGCCTGGCGCAGCCCGTACGGGCCGCGCGCGGGCCTGGCGCAGCCCGTACGGGCCGCGCTCGGGGCTAGCGCAGCCCGCGCTGGCCGGGACGGGCGACCGGGGACGACGGGCTGGTCCCCGTCGCCCGTCGAAGCGCCCCCCGGGGGCGACGCGCGGACCGACGGGGCAGAAAGCCGCCGCGCGCCTCGGGGCGCACGGCGGGCAGAGAACCGCCGCACGCCCCTGGGCGCACGGCGGGCAGAAAACCGCCGCGCGCCTCGGGGCGCACGGCGGGCAGAAAACCACCGCACGCTCCGAGCGCGCGGCGGGAAGAAAAATCCGTCGCACGCCACGGGGCGTGCAACACAAAGAGTAGCAGCGGAAGCAGTTAGGTGGGCCCACAGGCCAGGAGCGTAAATGCTCTGAAACCATGTTACAATAGTAAGCACAGTGAGGAGCCATAGCTAGGGTTTAGCTAGCTAGGCAAGAGAGAAATGAACAAAGGAGAGGTTTCACTAGCAGCAGTTGGGATACATATAGCAAACCCTAACAGGGTTGTACTCGCTATAGAGCACCCCACTACAGGCTAGATAATAACATTCTGACATTGTCTACCCCACTACAGCCTACACAGACTATAGCATATAAGTTTGACACACCCCCATAGGCAAAGTGGGGGAGAACAAGAGGTCACAAGACCAGTCAAGCAAAGCACAGGAATCTCAGGGTGGATCACAACGTCACCACACATTCCGAGCACAAGTTCAAGGCCACAAGGCCAGTTCGCATGCAAGATCATATATAAAGGCAAACAAGCAAGTGCAGGTATAGATAGATCACAGTACAAGAAAGGTCAAGAAGTGAGCAAGTGAGGCCAAGTAGGCACAAGACCTAGCATCGTACAGAAGCGCTGATGATCACAAGGCGGAAGTGCCTTGGTAAAGATATCAGCAGTGTTGGCCTGAGAAGCCACGTAAGCAAGGCGCAGCTGACCACGCTGCTGTAGCTCACGAGCAAGGAAGTAGTGAAGAGCAATGTGCTTCGTTCTGTGCTCCAGTCTGTGCTCCCGACACAAGGCCAGCATGGCCTTGTTGTCTACGTACAGAACTGGAGGAGAACGAGGCGGCTCTCCTAGGTCAGTCAGCAGGTAGGTGAGCCAGCGTAGCTCCTGTGCAGCCATGGCCCCCGCGTAGATCTCAGCCTCACAGCTAGAGCCGAGAACAGAAGACGAGCGGGTAGACCGCCACGAAACAGAGCCGGAACCAAGGCTGAAGGTGTAACCCTGTGACGACCGCTGCGTAGCCTGGTCGTCAGCCCAAGAAGCGTCTGCGTGACCTGTAAGGACCACTGAACGCCGCCCTCCAAGCACTAGCCCCATGCCCGACGTACTGCACAAGTAGCGCAACACCCTCTTCGCTGCAGCCATGTGCTCTGGTCGGTGTCTCCCAGGAGCAACATAGCGTGCCAAGATGCTAAGAGGGTATGCAAGGTCAGGTCGAGTGCAGGTCATCAGGTACATGAGGCAGCCAACAAGCTCTGGGTACGGGCCACTCGGCTCTACGGACTCATCCGAAGGCAGAGCTGAGAGCGAGTGGCGAGTAGACAGAGGAGTGGCCTGAGGCGAGGAGTACGTGAAGTCGAAGCGCTGAAGGACCTGCTGCACCATGTGTGACTGAGTCAGGGTAATGGTGCTCTGTGCTCTGTCCCGGGTGATCTGCAAGCCAAGGTAGCTGCGCAGTTCACCCAGGTCTGTGCACGTGTGTCTCTTCTGCAGCTCGGACTTCACGTGGGCGAGTCCAGCAGTGTCAGCAGTGGCAAAGACCAAGTCGTCGACGTACACGAGGATGTAGAACGGCGGCAAAGAGGTGTCGGTGCGCAGAAACAGCGACGGGTCGGCAGTAGAAGGAGCAAACCCAAGAGCCGCAAGTGTAGTCCTCAGTGTGTCGTGCCACTCACGGGGCGCCTGGCGGAGACCGTAGACTGGCCGCCGGAGGCTCCACTGGGTACCAGGAGGAAACGACCCAGTGAAGCCAGGTGGGCGGTGCAGCCAGATCTCCTCGTGCAGGCTGCCCTGCAAGAAAGCTGTGTTGAAGTCAAGAGAGTGAAGCTC